GGCTCCAGCCACACCGTGCCACCCTGACCGTCTGGTGTCGGCATTGACCCGGCTGCATTGGGCCCCCAGCGCTCGCCACTGCCCCATAGAGCGTGCAAAGCCGCGGTCGTAATGCACCCAGCCCAGGCGCCGCACGGCCCAGTTTGACTGGGCGGCTCCCATGGGACTCGGGGTAGGAACCAAGGGGCGAGGGGAGCCTGGACAGCACCCTTGAGTCTCCTTTGCAGCCAGGACACAAAGGCGTGTTCCCTCCCTGGGCGAAAGATGAAGGGTCTCTGGCGCTCCCAGGCTGAGCTGCCCGCAGCCCCCGTGGGGGACTTGGTTTCCAGCTGCCCCCTGGTTCACAGCTCTGTGCACCCCGTTCCCCCTGCTCCTTCCCGGGTTCGAGTGCATGCCGGTGGGGCCATGCTGCCCCCGGCGCTGGAGGAGTTGGGGGTCCGTTGCCCTTGACCGGAGCCGGGGCAGGGGTGTCCAGCCAGCGCTGCCTAAGGGAGCTCCGGCTGCCGGTTGCCTGCACCCGGTGGGGGGCTGGCGCCCACGTCCGGTCCACGCGCGTGCGCTGTCTTCTCCCCCACCCTCTGCCCCCCAGCAGTGGGACTGCTCGTTAATCTGCTGTTGTTTTCCCTCTCTGATTGCTCTGCTGCTCGCAGGGACAAACTGTGAGTCCTGGTTCCTAGAACCCCATAGCCACGCTCCTGCACGGGACGCTGCCCCCACCCCTCACCCCCCACCCCTGCCCCAGCCCCCCCGTGCCCCAGGCTTGTGCCTGCCCAGAATTTAAGATTAGCTGCAGCCGGCGGTGGGGAGGGGGGCTGAGAAGTAGGGGTGCAGCCAGTAGCAAAGGGGCTGTGAACTTTGAAAGGAGCCTGGAGCCTTTTCACTTGGAACCTCTGCCTTTGGTCGGTGACGGGGGTGCCCCCACCCCCAGGACCCGGACCGGCTCTTGCACCCTTCTGCCTGGCCGAGGGGCGGGGGTGGCCCGGTTAGCCCCTACAGCTGAGCAGACCCCAGCCTGGCTTCCTCGTGCCTTGCTGGAGCGGATCCTGGCCATTCGGGGCTCCTGCTCCCGCCGTGCAAGCCGAAGCTGGCGGGAAGGAAGCTGCGGGGCCCGTCAGCAGCAGGAGCTGGGTGTCCTGGGTGGGTGGCAGTGAGGGCACGCGTTGGCATGGGCTGCAGCCAGGGCCCCCCGAGAAACAGGCTGGCCCGTGGCTCCCAGGTGCTGGGCAGGCAGATCCCTGCCCAGGGCATCCCGCCTTCGCCCACTGCCGGGGCCGCACTCCCCCTCCTCATGCCTCGCTCGCAGGGTGGGCTCAGGCCCTCTGGCCCCCGTGGCTGGCACCTCCGCGGCTGCTTCGGACACCTGGCCTGTGAAACACCCCCTTGCTGCTCAGCCGGCCTCCCTCCGCCACCCCCTGCTCGGAGATTTCCGCGTGCTTCCTGGCATCCCGAGGCCTCCAGGCTCCCTGGCCAAATAGGTGACTTGTCAGCCCCGTGGTGCAAGTGGGGAAACTGAGGCACGGGCAGCACGACCCCACAGCAAGTCTGGGGCTGGAGCCCCGGGCCGCAGAGCTCTCCCTGCGGTGCTGGGGGTCACCTCAGCCGGTGTGACGAGCTGCCAGAGCTCAGCGGGGACCTCCTCTGGGAGGAGCAAGGGGCATCCATCATCGTCGGTCGCGGGGGCCACGGCTGTGGCTGAACGCAGCCAGGTCTCGGTCTAGCGGCCTTTTTGGCGAGGGGCAGCTTGCTGCGCCTACATGCTTCTGCGCGTGCAGATGTACACGGGCACACATGCGTGCACAGGTGCACACGCACCTCTCCCCCCGCCCGCCCCAATTTTCCCAGGCTTCACCGGTGCGAGTTAACCTGCTGCGCTCTCAGCCATCCATCCATCCATCCATCCACCGGCCCCCACTGGCCTCACCTGCTCCACCCATAGTGCTTTGCGGTCCCCCCTCGCGCACACACACACATGCGCGTGCAAGGTGTCACCTCTGCACCCCGGCTGAGGTTCCAAGCCCCACTTTCAAAGGCTCACCCGTGCCCGTGGCCAGGGTGGTGGGGGGAGACGGGGACAGTGCCTGAAGCGGGGGTGTTGGAGGAACGCAGCAATCCTAAATTCAAAGTCTCATGCTTGCCGTGTTCGGGTCTGGCTGTCTCTCTGCTTGGGGTCGGATGGCCCTGTTCTCCTCTCCTCTCCCCCCGCCCCCTGCATGCCTCCGACGCCCGCTGCACAGCTCCGAGTCTCCCGGGACCTGTAAAGCTGCTCCGCGTCGGTCCTCCCACATCGGGCACCCGTCCCCCACCCCATCCTTCACTCGTTTTGCTGCGGGGTTTCCGGCCTGGGCACAAGGTCCCCCCGTGCAGGCCCTCGGTGCTGAGTCTGCCGCTCCCCAAGTTGGGTACATGGGTGGGGGGCAGAGGAGCAAGACAGAGCCTCGCAGGGACCCCCCTGGCAGCCTCCGAGCCTGTGACCCGTGGTTCCTCTCCATAGCCAGGGGACGGGGGGACTAGGAGGAAGCCCAGCCCCGAGAGGCCAGTGCACGACAGCAACCCCATTGCCTTAGCAAGGAGGGTGGACCTGGTGCCCTGGGTAGTGCCAGTTTGCACAGGAACGAATGCCACCCCCTCTCCGTGCTCCCCCCCGTGTCGTGCCCAGGAACGGGGTCTCGTGGCTCCCTGCGGATGATGAGGGATTCGAGGCTGGAAGAAACTGGTGGGCCAGAGCCTCGCGCCAGCCCACAGCAGAGTTCGGAGGTGGGGGCTCTGGTGTGGGGGTGCGGACCCCGCCGGCCGTGGCTCCGTGGGGTTCTCCTCTCCGGCTGGCTCGGAGGCCTGGGAGGGTGAAGGCCACGTCCCAGCTTGGTGCTGGCAGGACCGGCAGGCCTCCTAGCTGGGAGCTTTGGCCCGTTTTGAGAACAGGTGTTTTGGGAAGTGCTGGTGTTTGTGCAACCTTTGTGCCCCCCGTGGCCAGCTGCTCTCTAGGTTCGCAGATACCCAGGTCGTCTCTGGCCCAGGCCCACACATCTGGGGGCTTGGTCACGGACCCACTCTCCGCTGGGGCTGAGTCTCCCGCACCCTGCAGCTTCCCGGGCTTGGAGATCCCCAGGGGGAAGGGATGTTGTGTGTTGCAGATGGCTCCCTCCGAGGCCCTGGGGACGTACAGAGCTTCCCTGGAGGCACGAGCAGAAGGTGCCGGGAGGGTCCCTCCATATCCAGTGGGTGCAGACTTCAGCTCACCTGCAGCATGTCCCCGGGACGCGGGGAGGGTGCCCGTGTCCTGCACCGGCTTCTCTCCCTTCTGCCGAGGCTGGCATGCAGCATGCGAGGCGTGTGGCTGGCTGGCTCCATCATCCCATTGCCTGGCGCATCCCTGCCATGCCATACCCAAGCTCTGCACAGACATCGGGCTGATCCCTCGCACCTGCCCCCACCCCGTCATGCCCTAAAAGGTGGGGAGGGGTCCCCTGAGCTATTGCTGCACATCCCCGTGTGCCCCCGAGTCGGCGGGACCCTGAATCAGTGCTTTCCCGTAACGCGGGTGCCACCGATCTTCATCCAACGGGTCAGCCACAGGCCGCCTCCTCCGTGCCAGCCAGCCGGGCCAAAGGGCGACGGGCCCAAGGAGCCTCAGGAGGGGGCCAGCCATTTGGCTTTTTAAGGCTGTAAACCCCCAGCTGAGCCTGGGAGACGCTGGCGCCAGCCTTGCCGCGCTCCGTCCTGCCCTGGGATGCCTTGCCCGGCTCTCATTGGGGACCGGGGAGCTGCCCGCCGGTGCTCCCGGGCTGCTTTTTGCAGCTGGAGCTCCAGCTCTTGGGCCGGGTTTGTTTCCACTGGGCTGAATGCCGACCTCGGGCACCGGGGGGGGATGTGCGTGACCCCCACGGGCTTCAGGGAAAGCCCTGCAGCATTGCCCGGCCTGGCAAGCTGGCCTGGGCTCATTCCCCTGCCTGAGCCCGCGTTGCACTCGCAGGCCCTGGGAAGAAGGCGAGAGGAGACATCTAATCATTGAGACTCCCAGCTCCAGGGTCTCTGATGGATGCTGGGGCTGGCGGACGAGTTCCCCCTCGTAGCAGAGGTTCAAGTCTCATCCGCTGCCCAGAGCGTGCCCGAGGCAGCCCCGCGGCGTGGCCTGACGTTGGATTAAGATGCGATGCGCGACCTCCAAAATCCCGCCCCGGGGGACGGTGCCAGGCCCCCAGCGAGCTCTGACTGGCGCCTTCTTGCCCCTTGGCAGGTACCACGACAAGCAGGAGGTGACCAGCAATTTCCTGGGAGCCATGTGGCTGATCTCCATCACGTTCCTCTCCATCGGCTACGGCGACATGGTCCCCCACACCTACTGTGGGAAGGGCGTCTGCCTGCTCACCGGCATCATGGTAAGTCCGGACGGGTGCGGGTCGGGGGCAGAGATGCTGCGTCCGGAGTGCGCTGCGCGGGGATAAGTTCTGGGAGGGACGCTGCTGCTTTTCCAGCCCCGTCACCCCCTATTTTGGGGTAGGGACCATGGTGGAGCTGCAGCTGGAGCTGCAGGAGGGCCTTCCTCCGCTGGCAGCAGTAGTAGGCTGTTATTCTCTTCTAGGGAACAGCCTGGAGAGGCTGCTAAAGCTGATCTTGGCCCCTGCTCCCATCACCAGCGCTGTGTCCCCCAGCGGGGGCACCTGCTCATCCAGCCCCACCTCTCCCCATTGCAATCAGGCAGGGTTTGGCCCCCTCGTCTCCTAAGGAGGAGGCTCCTCTCTGCCCTCCTGCCGGCCTTGGATCCCCTTGCCTGCTGCAGCCCTGTAACCCCTTAACCCTGTCTCGCTCGCAGGGCGCCGGGTGCACGGCGCTGGTGGTCGCTGTGGTCGCCCGGAAGCTGGAACTCACCAAAGCTGAAAAACACGTGCACAACTTCATGATGGACACGCAGTTAACGAAGCGGGTAAGGCCTCCCCACAGCCTCCAGCCCGGCCTGCCCGCAGCCTCCGTGCCCCCGGGCACCTCCGCCCCTCGGGGGGCTTGCTGGAAGCGCAGCGCTCGCCCCCGGGCCCTGCGTTGGCGCCTCTACGGGGTGACTCTCACCCTCCGGGCTCCTCGCCCGGCGTCCCAGCTCAGCCCCTCCGCGGCCACGCTGATTCCTGTTCCCGCAGGTGAAAAACGCTGCTGCTAACGTACTCAGGGAAACGTGGCTCATCTACAAACACACCAAGCTGGTGAAGAAGATCGACCATGCCAAAGTTCGGAAACACCAGCGTAAGTTCCTCCAAGCCATCCATCAGTAAGTCCAACACCTTTACCTGCTTCGTATTCAGTCCCTCCGCAGCCTCCCGGCTCGGGCGCTGGGGGAGCGAGGTAGGGGGGCGGCAGGCAGGGGCTGGGGCACGACCGCGAGAGAGGAGGACGGGATTTTGGAGAGAGGCAATTCCCTCGCGATTCGGTTTGGCCGTCGCCGGCCGGCCCCGGGCAGAGCCGTGCGGGGGAATGAATTCCTGCCGAAGGTTTCTTCGAAAGGAAATGCGGCGCAGTGGGTTTTATCCCGGGGGTTTTCCCCTTTCCGGCTCCTGATGCGCGGCTTTCCAACCCGGAGCTCTTCCAGCCCGGCCGACGAGCGCCGGCTGCATCGCGAGGGGGAAACGGGGTGAAGCAGCCGGGGTCTCGCACTTGTCTTGTCCTTGAGGAGCCAGGGGCTTTGGCCAGCTTGGCCCTTGTTTCCTCCCGGCCGCCGACTGGCTGAGCTGCCAAATGGGGGAGGGAGTCCTCTTCCCATCGCTCTCCATCCCCCTCGGCTTTTCCGCCAGCTCCGCGTGAAATGTCTCCCGTCGCCCAATTTAGCACCTCCGTCTTCCTCCCTAAAGATACCCCCGGCCTCTCCCGTTCCCAAAGGGGTTTGTCTCAGCCCCTCGAGGCAGTGCAGTGCTGCAGGGTGGGAAGAAGGTGGGAAGCAGAGACGAGAGGCCTGGGGATGGTCACGGCCTGCTGGAATCGGCAGGGGTCCCCCCAGCTCCCGGGTCCCTGCGCCTGGTCGCTGTGGGCGAAAGGGCTTTGCTGGGCTGGGGTCCCTCTGCGAGCCGTGGGGCTGGCAGGGGCAGCCTGGGCACTGATGTGACGTGGGCAGGGCTCAGGATGCAGGATGGACCCTGCCCCCCCGAAAGCAAAGCCCGTAGCACCCTGCGGGGCACTGCTGTGTCTGTCTGTCTGGGCAGGGGTCAGGGTGTCTGCCCGGTCTCCGTCTGCAAGCTGGCTTGGCTTTGCTCCGATTTGTTTTCCCATGCGTGATGTGTGTCGCACGCCCCCCCCCCCCCCCCCCCACGCATGCGTCCTCACACTCATGCACGCTCACACAGAAAGGCCCCGCTCTGCACGGGGGTGGGGAGGGGAGCCATGGCTGCGGGGGAGATGCTGCTGCTGCTGCTGCTGCTGTCCCCAGCATTCGCCCCGGGTCTGGAGCAGGGGGACAGGTGGGTGTGCATGGGGATAGATGGGTGGGTAGGTGGCCCAGGACCCAAAGGGAGAGGGTGCAGGTGTGCTTCTTGGCCCATGAAGAGAGAAACTGAGGCAGGGTCCCTAAAGGTCACAGTCACAGCAGTTCTGCACCCAGCTACACGGGGCCCTGGGACAGCCCAGACCCCCGAGACCCAGCCAGGTGGTCAAGATGGGGCCAGGATTAGGGCCCGATCCTGCTGGCTTCTCCAGTAGGCACCAGTTAGCTCTCCCTCCCGCGGGGATGCAGCCTCCCCACGCCCCTGCCCTGTCTCTCAGCTGTGCACCCCCCAAACCATCGTCCGTGGGGATCAGCACCCCACATGCACGCTTTGGCCTCGCATCCCGGGCAGCCGGGTGCTGGCCAGGCCTCGGCCTCTGCAGGGAGCTCGGCGGGGCCAGGCCCACGGAGGGGCGGGCTGGGCCTCTGTGTGAGAGTGGGGCGCGGGCCGGGCGGGCGCGTGCGTGGGGCTCGTGTGTTATTAAACCTGTGTTGTGTTCTGTCTTTGTTCTGCCCGGCCCCTCCAGAGCTCAGAAGTAAGTGGCCTGCGGGAGCTGCCGGGCTCTAACGTGACCCTGTGTGTGCATGGCTTCATGTCGCGTGCTCGGGGGATCCTGCCCCATCCGGTGCCGCGGGGCGGGAGGGAGCAGGGGAGCTGCCCCCCTTGCCCACCCCGCGGGGCTTCTCCCTGGAGCCACTCCAGAAGTGTCCTGCCGTGTCAATCCAGGGGCTCCGACCGGGTGACCCCAGGTTTCCCATCAGCCTCGCAGCCATGCGGCTGTGCGGCAAAGGCCAGGCTAGAGCCAGCCGTCGTAGCATTGGCCCCTCCATGAGCTGCCTGGTCGAAACTCCAAAGCCCCAAAGTCGAACCTGCAGCCCTTGGCTGGTGGTGTTGTGGGGGGCTCGCAGCAGGGCTTGGCACGCAGGGAAGGAGCTGGGAACGGGGGCAGCGGTGTGGGGACAGACCTGGCGATGGGCTACGAGCTGGGCAGAGTTCAGGCTGGCTGCTGTGACCCCTGCCCGGCGTGGGCGAGAGCGGGGCCGTGCCGCGGGTTTGCTGCCGGGGCAGGGAGAGCAGGGGAGAGGGAAGCCGCTGGGCTCCTGGCTGCAGGCTCTGGGGTCCTGTGCGCCATCTCTGCCGGGTGCAGAGAGAAGCCTGCCCCTGGCCTCCCATCCCCGTCCCCTGGCTCTGGTGAGGGCACCCCACTCCCGAGGGAGCAGCCTGTCAGGAGTGGAGCCCCGTGCGCTCGCAGGGGTCCCCTGCACTGCGTGTCCCTTGGGGGGCCGGCCCAGGCACCCCCCGTCCTGCCGGGACGGCACTGACCCCCTGCCTCTCCCTTCACTTTTTAGATTAAGGAGTGTGAAAATGGAGCAGCGGAAGCTGAACGACCAGGCGAACACGCTGGTGGACTTGGCCAAGGTGAGCGGGCCGCGGTCGCTGGTTGGCACCGAGTTGCGGGCGGCACCCCGGGGCTCCTGGGCTCTGTGCCCAGCTCGGAGGGAGGAGGCTGTAGCCGTTCCAGCAGCCAGGACTTGCGGGTTCAATCCCCGGGTCCGGTGCATCCTGGGGCACCTCCCTTTGCTCCCCAGCAAATGGGTCCGAGATGGACCGGTGGAGCTGCCAACTGGGCACCGCTCAGCGCTGCCCTTTCTTGTCCCGCAGACCCAGAACGTCATGTACGACCTGGTGTCCGAGCTCCAGGAGCGCAACGAGGACCTGGAGAAGCGCATCAGCACCCTGGAGGGCAAGATCGATGCCCTGGGCCTCAGTATTCACGCCCTGCCGGGCCTCATCACCCAAGCCATAACCCAGCAGCAGCAGCAGCAGCGACGGGGCCAGGGCCCAGGCACGGGCACCGCTGCCCGCTTCTGCCCCGGCTCCAACAGCTCGGAGCGCTCCTCATGGACCCCCACGCGCCGGAGGAAGTCGCCGTCCACCGCGCCCCACACCTCCTCGGACAGCGGGTGACGGGCGGGCGGGCGGGCGGGCGCAGCGCCCACCTATGTCTGGCCATTGTGTGGCTGATCCTGGTAGCTTTGTTCTGTAAAGCCCTGTATAGTCAAACTCCTCGAGTCGGCCATGCTGGAGCGACGCCGCGGCCACCGCCTGGTGCTGCCCCGCAGCTGGGACCCCCCTGGCTCCAGCCCCGGCCCCCCCTTCTCTTGGGGTGAAGAGCTGGGTTGGGGGGAAGGAGCCGACTGCAGCCAGAGCTGCCGCGGCTCTGGAAGGCGTTGGTGGGACAAGCGGCAGCGGGGTTCAGCGGTTAGGGCAGCGTCTGGACTCCGGGGCGGGGGTTTAGTGGTGAGAGCCAGGGGGGCTGGGAGCCCGGACTCCCGGGTTCTGTGCCCAGATACAGGAAGGGGACGGTTCCCCGGTGGTGAGAGCCAGGCAGGGCCTGGGAGTCCCGACGTAGGGGCCGTATCCCTGGCTCTGCTGCTAAGTGACCTTGGCTACGTCACTTCACCTCTCTGTGCCTCAGTTTTCCCCATCTGTACAATGGGGGCAACGATGCTGACCGCCATCTAATGCTGTGAGATTCTCGGATGCAATATTACACCCCTGCGGACTGCAGGCGGGGTGGGCTGATGGGGTCCGGCCCAGGTAGCAGCTCCTGGCCGCCTGGCATTTGGGAACCAGGCTGACTCGTGGTCCAGCTGGGCCCTACTGTGGGGGTGAGGGGGTCCCCTGCATTCCTGGGGGAGCAGAGGCCAGGGGATGAGAGCTGGGGTGCAGAGAGGAGCGTCACCCAGACTCACGTGGGGGTCTGGGAGCGGGGTGAGGGCTGCGCTCCCGGCCTTGCGTTCCCCCTTGTCCCAGGCTGAAGGAAGCAAATTGCTCCCCTTGCACCGTCTGCCCTGCAGCGGGTCCCCTGCACCACGGCCGTGACCCTACAGCCCCTGAAGGCAGACGGGTGCAGTCAGGGACCTGGAGGAGCTGGGCCTGCAGGGCTGAGCAGGGGGCTCGCGGCCACCTCCCCCCCAGGAGACAGGTGGACCCATCGTGCCCCTGCAGAAGGCTGGGGTGAGGCACAGACCCCAGCCCCGAGGCCCTCAGCTGGCCCCTGAGCAGCCCTGAGCACCACGTCTTGCAGTGCATGGAGATGCGGGGGTGGGGGGAGGGAAGAGGTTGCGGGCTCATTGCAGCAGGAGGGGCCCACCCGATGGGGGGGGGGAGGGTCTGGTCCATCCCGGACTTGGAGCTCCCCTGTGGCCTGGGCAGGGGGTGCGCTGTGTGGCCGGGGCGGGGGTCCCGTCCGAGGGTGAAGGGAGCAGCCTTGGGCTGCTCCCTTGTATTTATGAATGGGGCCCACCCTGCTCTATCTGGAATAACCCATGATGTCGAAGGCCGGCGCAGCCAATCAGAGGCCTCGACGGGCTACCTGTTTTCCCAGGGCAGGACAGACCGTTCCATTGTGATTTACTGGAGGGCGGGAGGGAGGGCTGGGGGGGCACGTTTGAAGTGCTTTTGTAAGCAGCTGCAAAGCTGTGCTAGGATTTCCACCCCCGGCCAGGGCGCGGGGGTGTAGGGGAGGGATGCCCAGGGCCAGCCTGGATGCTGCCAGGCCCCAGGGCTTACGCTGGTGCATCCGGTACCGCTGGGCTGGTGCCAGTGTTGCCTGCAATGCGGGGATTTGGCCCCCGGGTCCTGCCTCGCTCCAGGGCTGGGCTGGACATCCTCTCCCTGGGCAGCCGGGTGCCAAGGGGCCAGGCCAGGACCGGGACTCGACAGCATCCCCAGAGGAATGGCTTGGGGAGCGCTTGAGAAAGGGAAACCTAATAAAACGAGAGCTGAACGCTGCGTCCGGTGTCATGTTTCGGCGGTGCGGACGAGGACGAGGTGGAGGAAGCCGGGGTGGGTTGCAGGCCCGTCGGGTCTGGGGCCTGCGGCTCGCTGGGCCTTTGCCTTGCTGTCCTGGGGCTGAGCAGGGCTGGGGCAGGAGGTGGACTGGGAAGGCATGGGGAAGCCTTGGGGTAAAGCCCTGCTCCTCCGTGCCCTGCGGACACCTGGGTTCTGCGCTGTCGGGCGTCCCCGTCCAGTGTACACCTGGCTCAGATGGGGGTAGACCCCCCCCATCTGGGCCTTTGCACAGTCCATATAGCATCCCCCAGCCCCGACGGCATCCCGCCAGCCTCTGCAACCCCCATTCATCCCTCCAAGCTGGGGCACACTTGTTTTGGGGGGTGGGGGAAGCCCCAGAGGAGGAGGGGCTGAGGCTGGGGTCCCAGAGGGCCGCAGGGGCTGCCCCCCTCCCTGCCCTTTGCCAGGGCCCATGCAGCCCAGTGGCAGGGGCTCTTGGCTGCAGCTGGGGCAGCCCAGAGCTGTGGCGCCCATGAGGCATGACATGAACCATGGCTGCTGACAGGGCTGGGGACCCCCACGGTCCCCGGCCCATCCATGCTGCGACCGCCCATGCCCCCAAGCTCTCCTTCCCCTCCAGGATCCAGGCTCTGGGCACCTACCTCATCCATCAGCCATGCAGAAGGAGCCGGGGCTGGCTCGGGCAGGCGGCATGTCCATGCACGGGGTGCCAGGCCCCAAGGCAGAGCCCTGCTCCAGCCAGCTCCTAAAACACAGCGTGGATCAGGAGAGCCCAGGACTGGGCTAGCAGGAGTGGCATGGGCATGGGCATGGGCAGAGCTGGGGGCCTGGGGCTAGGCCATGCCCCAGGCAGCACTCCCCACCTCTTGCTGCAGCAACTGTGACCCTAAAAGAGCCAAATACCTGCTGTGCAGGCACAGACCTCCCCTGCGGATGGGCATGTCTGACCACGGCCTGCCAGGCCCCACCACCCCCACGGCTTCCTTCGAACAGTGCTCAGAGTGAGGCCCCAGTGGCTGCACCCTCCCAGTCCCCCCAGTCACTGGGAGCAGCCCCTCCGCAGGCCTACAGCAGGCAGGCCAGTCGCACAGCAGGTGTAGGAGATGCATTGGAGAGTATCACATTCACCTGCGGCTGGTCCTTATTAAGGCCAGGGAGGGCTGGCAGGGCTCAGGCTTTGCAGGGAGGTGAGCTCTAGAGCAGGCGGTGATGCTCCGAGCAGAGCAGGCAGGTTTGGGGCAGGGAGCTGTAACCCCCCTGGGGAAAGGGACCGACTCCAGCTGGGCATTTCTGCCTGCGCAGCCCCAGCGCTGTGCTCGGGTGCAGCCTCGTGCCCCGCCGGGGCTGCAGGCAGAGCCTGGCTGCTTGGGGGAGGCTGGCTCCTGAGGCCCAGCCAGGCAGGGGTTCAGAGCCGGGCTGCAGCTGTCTCTCTCCTGCTTCTCCCTCCATTCCTGGTGGCTTCTGCTCCCTCGCAAGTGGCCGGCAGCGGAGTGTGAAGGAGACGGCCGGCCGGTGGGCTGCCAGGAGCGGGCAGGCTGCAGGGATGGATGGATGGATGTGAAGCGTGGGGGCGCAGCACCCTCTGCCGGCTGACCCCACACCTGAGCCAGGTCCTGGGGTCTGGGCTTCTGCAGAGGCGCCTCTGCCCCTTGGGCCTGCCGGCGTGGGGCTGGTCCCTGCCCGGCCTGGGGCAGCCCTGGCGTTCCCTGCTCGGCTGGGGCAAGGGTATGTCCTGGGCCCTGGACGCCAGCCTGACACCGCTCTGCTGCACTGCCCCTCCGCAGTGCCCTTGCCAGACTACTGACCCTGGGTCTGACCTCCGTTGCCTAGATGAGCCGGAGATAGGTGGGTTGGACTGGATGTGACCTCCTGAGGTCCCTTCCCACCCTCAGCTTCTGTGATTACAAAGCCCTGATGATGCTAACGAAGGACCCTCGTTAGCCACTGCCCTGTCACACGTTGGAGCTGTGCAGCGCCTGACCAGCAGTGGGTAGCAGCCGTCCACGCCCTGCCCGGCTCATGGCAGTGTCCAGCACCAGCCTACTACTGCTGCCGGCAGGAGCTGATCACGCTCCTCCAGCAGGTCCCCTACATCAGGGTTGGGGAACAGTCCAGGAGCCAAGCCCTGCTGCTGCCCCGGCTGGGAGGACCGGGTTGCACACTCATATGCGCATGCACGCACGCACGCACGCAGGCCTTATCCTGTTGACGCTCGGAGCCAGGCTCTGCTGGCTCTGCACACAGCGTTTCCTGGCAGCGGGGCCGTGGGCTGCACAGTTAATGTTTAACCAGAGGCAGATCCCGGCTGCGCTGGATGCGCACGGTGCCCGACGTCGCCCGGACCAGCGCTGGGGATGAGGAGCAGCCACGAGACCCCCGTGCCACGCAGCCCCTGAGCCGTGGGTAAGACAGATCCAGGGTCCCTGCGGCACGGTCTCCCCACTCGGGCTAATGGCCCCGGGGCTCGGGGTGGCGTTGGAGTCCGAGGGGGGCTGTGACCGTGAGACTGCCCTGCAAAGCTCCCTCTGCCACACGCCAGCCCGAGCCCGCTGCAGGGGTCTGCTCCCTCGGGGCTTGTTGGCAAGAACGGCAGGGAGGTGTTCCCGACTCTGGTGCCAGCCTTCTGCGGAGGGTGCTGAGCGCTGCCTTTAGCAGGCTGGGTCCTCTCCCCTGAAATGTCTTGTGAACTGCCAAGAGCTGCATGCATGTTGCGGACACCCAGCAACCCGTCCTTTGGACCCTGCCCGTTGCCTTGTGCTGCTTTCATTGTACAACGCCGAAGGCAGAAGTATGACTACAGATCTAGCATGGGGAGGCCCGGGCGGGACGTTGGCCCCGGCCTCTGGGGTGAAGGCCAGGGAGGCCTTTCTCCAAGCGGCTGCCTGGCTTGGAGGGCTGCTTGCCACCGTAGGGCTGGCCCAGCATTGCTCCCTGCCTATGTGCCAGAGGCTTGGTCCCTCCGGACGGCTGGGCGAAGCGCTGGGAGCCATCCCAAGTATCCCAAGAATTCGCTCACCTTTCAACAGCAGGAGCCGAAAAGCAGCATTGCTGCAGCGCAGCCCCGGGGTGCTGGTGGGGCCGGGGGCGCAGACTGCACCCGTGCACGGAGGGGGAGAGTCCACCCTGGGCTCTTGCAGGGAAGGGGCGTATGGGGCACGATGCTGCCCCGAGCAGCCGGGGAGCTCTGCCAGCGTCCGAGGCTTGGAAGCCGTTCGCAGGGACTGACGGGCGGGAGGGAAGGCGCGACGGGGCCCAGGCCAAGCCCTGGCTCATGGCTCCTGTCACACTAGCAGCGAGAGGCCCCTTGTGCTGGTGTTGCCCATGTGCACAGGGAGAGCAACCCTGGGCTCTGGGTCAACCCAGCCAAGGGGGAAACTGAGGCACAAAGGGGCAGTGACATACCAGGATACCCCACGCAGTCAGTGGCAGGGCTCAGACTGAGCCCAGGGCTCTGGCCGGTGCTCTAGCCACTTGGCAACGCTGCCCAGCAGAGCACAGACTTCAGGGGCTCCAGGCGAAGATGCCATTTGCAGTTGCACTGACTTCTTCCTCCTTCCTCCCTCCAGCTGCACTGGGCCCCGGCTGGGGCAGGAAGCAGGAGCAGGACCCCCGGCGCCCCCGTGGCTGGGTTGGAGCAGCCGAGGACACATGGCGAATGCCGCTTTCCCTGGAGCCACGGCCGCCCGTGAGAAGAGAAGGCCAGTCCTGACTTCGGGCAGCTTGCTGAGCTCCGCGGGGCTGACGTGGGTCACACCAGCCTCCATTGGGGTGTCTGGGGAGCCCTACCCCACCGGGAGCGACTCGCCCTGCTCCTCGGCACCCCCCCGGCCAGCCCAGCCTGCGGTGGGAGACGTTCCCCGTGGCTCGGGAAGACCCCCGTTGAAGCCCGTGCGGCGCTTCGTCCCGCGGTCCTGGAAGAGGTTTTTCCAGCGATGGAGGAGGGTGCCCGAGCCACGTCCCCTGCTGGCCCGTGCCCGGCCACACTCCCCACCCGTAAGTCCCCTGCTCATGCCTGCCTCTGACAGCAGCTCCCAGGAGCCCTCCTGGTCCAGCCCGAAGGCAGAGCCGGTGGGGGTGATGCTTCCCTCCGGCAGCCCCCCAGCCTGGTGCAGCGAGGAGGCCAAGCTGGAGGCCTATCGCCGCAAGTACGCCTACATGAAGTCCTGGCCGGGGCTGCTGCGGCTGCTGGCGGGGCTGCAGCTGCTGTGCGGGGGCATGGTCTTTGCGTGCGTTTGTGCCTACATCCAGAAGGACTATACCGGGGCCAGCCTAGTCGACAGTGGGCTCCTCGGGGCGGGCTATGGGGATGGCTACTACCAGCCGATGACGCCCTTCGTGCTGACGGCGGCCGGCCTGGCGTGGCTGGGCACAGTCACCCTGCTCAGCCTGGGCCTGACCCGGTACTACCGCTCCATCCTGCTGGACTCGCCTTGGTGGCCCCTGGCCGAGTTCGGCATCAACCTGGCCCTGTTCCTGCTCTACCTGGCAGCCGCCACCGTCTATGTCAACGACGTGACCCGCGGCGGCCTCTGCTACTCCCTCTTCTCCCGCGGCCCCCTCGTTGCTGCCCTGTGCCGCGTGGCGGGGGGGCAGGTGGCCGCCCTCGCCCTCCTCTTCATCACGGCCCTGCTATACCTGGCCAGCGCCCTGGTCTGCCTCAAGATGTGGAGGCACGAGACGGCGCGTAGGCACCGGGAGCCTGCCGAGGCACCGGTGAGTCCCCAGCGGGAGACCCCCTCGCCCTCTCGTGCCTCCCTGCAAGGTCAGCTCTCCCAGCGTCCCATCGACCCGGGGCCGTGGGAGCTCCGCAGTGCCGAGACGTGGCTCCGTCGGAGCACAGCCGGGCTCTTGATGTGCCTGGAGATGGCTCATCTCTCCAGTCCTGGGGGGGCTTATTGTACAGGGGGTCCCTGCCCCTCTCCTCCCGGCCTTCGCTCTGTGCACAGCCCCCTCCGGCACTGGCACGGACAGCCCCACACCCCAGCTCAGCCCTTCCCCAGCATTGGTGTGGCATCACACCCATAACACTGAGCCTCACGCCTCCCTCTTGTCTTGAAGCACAGCCCAGTCCTGCTACCAGCAAGACCCAAGCGCATCGTCTTCCAGGATGAGGTGGTGCCCGGGAGCCAGCGGGCGAAGGTCACCAAGTGCATCAGCTTCTCCGAGAAGGGTGGCGAGCCGGCCACCATGAGCTGCTCCATCCCCACGGGGCACACGCCCAAGCCACACGTCCTCCCAGACTATGTGGTGTAAGTAGTGGCCTCCTGCCCCCGGAGCAGGTGACGGCTAATCTGCCCTGGGTGCTGGTGCTGGAGAGAGGTCGCACTGTGCCCGTCTCTGCCGGGGCCTGCGCAGCAGTTGCACGGTTCGACCGCTGCCAGCTCCAGGGCAGCACCGTGGTCCTGGCACCACGTTGGTGCAGTCCTCCACTGGTTAATTAGTCTCATTTCTCATTAGGGCTGATTCTCCCAGGTGCGTTGCTCCTATGTAGAGCTCTGGCCTCAGCTGGGGGTGCTTGGGTGGCATGGATAGCAGGGTAACAGCAAGGAAGGCGTCTCAGCTGGGGGCTCATCGGCCTTTCCTGTTGAAGGGGTGTGGGGCAGGGGCTGCCTCTACCGTGGGTCTCTGCAGTGCCCCGCTCAAGTGGCTTTGTCTCTCTGGGGGTCTCCAGATCTTCCCATAGCTGAGCCCCCACCAAGCTGCAGGCACCTCCCTTCCTGCCACACATCTCTGATTTATTCCCACCCCATGCCTGGCCCCATTAGCAGGCTCTAACCCCTGCTAGGATGAACCGAGTCTTCCCTCTTAACCCCCGGGCAGGAAGTACCCGGCGATCAGCAGCCCGGAGGAGAGGGAGAAGTACAAGGCCGTCTTCAACGACCAGTACGCGGAGTACCGGGAGCTGCACGGCGAGGTGCGCGCCGCGCTGCAGAAGTTTCAGGAGCTGGATGCCATGATGGGCCGGCTGCCGCGGCGCGCGCTCAGCAGACAGGTCGGTGCCTCCTGCTAGGTCCCAGGTGGGGGAAGCCCCCGCGAGGGCTCTGGTCTGATCTGGTGGGTCAGCGCAGCGGGCTGGCCCCTCGCCCGCAGACCTGGTGCTGGGGGCCTGGGCAGGAGCCTTAGACCGGAGTGGAAGTAGCCGAGGCTCATGCAGCTGTTGAGAGATGATGGATGGAGTTGCTGGTGCTCGGGAAGTTTGGCTTGGACCGGGGCTGCTGGGCTCTGCGCCTGCCACAGCTGCCTGGCGGAAGCCGGTGCAAGTCAAACCCTTGTGACCCTCCAGGTTGTTAGTGGCCTTGGAGGCTCGATATGCGCTTGGGGAGGAAACCCAGGCTCGTGGGAGCAATGGGAACTACTTAAGGCTGGTGACAAAGCCAGGCTAGTGATTTGGGTCACTAATGCACACCCAGCTTGTGTGTGTGTGCCCGCTCTCCTGCACTCCAGCTTTCATGCATGTGTGTGTCTGTGCGCACCCACTAACCTGACTTGGTCTGCAGTGTATTCCCTGACAGCACTTTTGGGACAAATCTATGGAGAATTTACCCCTTCCCTTCACTGCTTTGATACCCCCGTGGTATTGACCCCCCTCCAAGGCTGCTAGCTACCTTCACAAGAACAGCTGCTGCCTAACAGGAAGCGCTTTAGTTTTCTGGCATCCAAGATCTGAGCTGGCAGCTGCTAGAGAACTAAGCAGCCTTCCTGCCTGCATTGTGATGTCTCAGCTGGAGGCAGGTTCCTCCCGTCTCCAGGCCCCAGACCCTCTGCTCTCTCCTCCACCGAAGAGCAGGCCTAGCGAGGCATGGCCAATGTGGCTGGGCAGTGGGGCACTGCTCTGCTGCTCACGTGCTGCTTTGTGCTTTGCAGGAACAGAGCCGGGTCTCCAATGTCTGGAAGGAGTACAAGAAGAAGAGAAATGTGAGTAGGGGCCTGGATTTTTCCCCGTGTCCCGGCTGCAACCTCCAGCAAAGGGGTGGGAAGGGGGAGAGCTGAGCTGGGAGGGCGCACGCTGCACCAGGGCTCAGGACCCTTCTACACTCACCATTGAATCTGGATTGAGGAACCCAGGAGCTCTCCTCGAATAAATCCTAGTGCGGATGCTCTCCTGAGCTAGGAGAGCCTTGTTCTGCATTCGGAGGATCCCCTTTGAAAGTGGGGTTGGCTGAAGCTCGGCTGGTTGTGGCTCTTGACCAAACCTGGGCCAGGCTCTTTGCAGCAGAGGGGCCCGTTGTGGTGGGCACAGCCCAGGGCTCCTTGTGGTAGCTAAAACGGGGGGTCCCTTTCATGGCAGCTGGGCATGGACAGCCCCTGTGCTTCACAGCAGCCTGGCATTGCAGCCTTGTGGGAACGCCTCTGGCTTTCCCACCCCAGGGCTTGGGGCGGTGTCCTGGGCCAGTGCTCCCACTCTCTTCTGCAGGGAGCATGAGCTGTTTAGGGCCTAGGCCTGGACAAATGGGGCTCAGCTCTCCCCAGCTGGGGCTGGGGTGGGCCAAATCCCAGCTTCGCCTGAGCCCTCACTGCAGCCTGCCCCTTCCGGCCCTGCAGGATCCTGCCTTCCTGGAGAAGAAGGAGCGCTGCGACTACCTGAAGAAGAAGCTCACCCACCTCAAGGCGCAGATCCAGGACTATGACTGCACGGCGAAAGAGGGCTCTGTGTACTTCTGAGCCGGCGGTGGCACGGAGCAGCCCTGCCCTGGCCCCGGGACTGCCTGCTCCCGCTGCCAGGCTGGCCTGGTGCGCACTGAGTGCTCAAGCGGAGAGAGGACAAGGGGATGGGACCCGTGGCTTCACGGATCCCACGCACGCTGCCGGCTTGTGCAGGCAGGTCCTGTCTCTGCCCTCGTGGCCAGCTGGGCTGGGCCTACCAGCAGGGATGCCCCACGCTCTCCAGCGGGCACCCAAGTGGGTGCTGCAGCAGTCTCGGAGGGAGTCACCTGAATGCACCGTGCTCCCTGCCTGCCTGGCTGCGCGCCCCTGGAGCCAGGCTGGATGAGCACCCCGTGCCCCCAGCTGCGCTCTGGAGAAGTGTGCTGTTGCACTGTGCAATAAAAGCTGACTGCAGCTGTGTGCCACAAGCAGGTGTTTAGTGGGTGGCAAAGCGGTGCCCGGGCAGGGGTGCATGTACCCCCAGGCTGGGGCAGGGCAGGGGCCTCGGCCGGCGGCGAAGAAGGGCTACTCCCACCCTCCCCTGCCTTTGGCTCCCAGCACAGGGGAGAAAGCCTCGTGGGCCGGCGGCGCGGAGCCGGAGCCCTCCGTCCCGGGGCAGAAGTCGCTCCCCCGTGCCTGGCTCCTTCCCCGCCCTGCTGCAACCTGGGAGTTTCAGCCAGAAAATGCCTCTGAGAAAGCAAAGCAAAGCAAAGCAGCTTCTGCCGCCCAGGGCTGCGGCCGGGGGGAGGGCCGTG